TACAAAACCTACATCAACCTATTTATATATTACACGAGGTGACTATGGAAAGGAAAAGAAATCTCTAACTAAGGAAAGAAAATTACAAGTTCTCTAATTAACTAGAAATAATAATCTTAATTGATTCAGTTTCCTACACAAGCGCCCTGATATGTTGTGGTAGGTCGGTTGGTCCATATTCCTAGTATCTACGATGATACCAACCCTCGGTAGCAAGTGCATTTGCAACTTAGTTCCCCCCTCTGAAGATGTGGGAGACCATATCTCTGTTAAATGAAATGATATCTGCAATTTGTCTGAGTATTTCCTGGATAGGCCACGGTCCGCCATCTCTAGTAATGCAGTGAATGGCAACAGTCGTGTCACATTTCAATTTCTCTATGTTTGCTCTTAATCTTTTTAATGAAGTCTTTTTATCTAGCGGAATACCTCGTGGTGGTCTGTGCAGCACGTGACAGATGTAAACAGTAACTTTTGTCCTTTATGTTTGCGAACTCAATGGGGACACTTTAGCATAAGATTTAGATGAGAGCTCGAGCATGACTATCTGCTCATATAGAACGATTTAGATGCGAGGTGGTTTATATCATTGGGGTCAAGGATTTTATTTAAAGGAAATGTGTTGTTTTTGTAGAGGATTTGCTTGGGCATCTTAATATCCAGCACCCCCTCATTTTGTAACTTGGATGTGCGCCACTTTTTTTATGTCCATCTTTTTCTCATTTGCGCAATATATGCTATTCAAGAATCAATTGAGGATCTTCAATATTCAAAGAATACGTGATTTTATCTAGAATTTGTCAAAATGATATGAGAATTTCTTATGTATGAGGGTTGCATTTAATTATTATGCTGGTGGATGGTGATTGAATTTGTTGCTACAAACGATGGATCATGGAGAGGATAGTTTGGTCTCTTAGGCCAAAGTGTGAAAGATGTTTGGATCTGTGTGACTTGGGGGCTAAAATCTTTACTGAACTGCGAACTGGTTGTGGCAGCTGGACCTCAGAACTAGATTTCCCATGTCACCAAGTTATTTAAGATTAACTTGGCCGTTGTTGTTTCATTCAATTGTTAGATGGTGTGGGATGAGTGGAATCTTAAATTATACAATTAGCCAAATTGAAATATTTGAGCTTGTGAGTATGTCATGAACAGTAAAAAATTAAGAAAGGAGGAAAGAGGAAGAACAAACTGGGCACTACACTTAGAATCCCATGGCATAACACCAACTGTTTGATTGCATCGTGCAATCTCAAACCTGTCTACAAAAGCTTTATAAAGAAACTCACTAATTCCTCATTTCTAGAAGCAAAACCCCTTGTCAGGGCAGTTAAATCTGTGGCTTGTCAATGAGATTGAAGAAACGACAAAGATTACGGAGATTGCATCTACCATAAATACATATATATAATTGATTGTAAATTATTGTAATTAGCTTGTTACCATATTTAGATTGTACACACTTCTCTATTTAATGAAAGGGCTCTCAAACAAGAGGATCATTCAGCCAAATTTTGTCATGGTATCAGAGCACAAGACCGAGAGACGAGCTCAATGTCGTTACCATCCAAAACCAATTTATCCTTGACCTTCTCAGATCTGACAACGTTAACTCCTTCAAGCATATCCACCTTCCTAACCTTCTTTTCTCCAAGGAAGTTACGGATCTCAATCGACTTGTTACATGGTGACCTTAAGGAAGATATTTATATGACACCTCCCGTGGGACTCTTTTCGTTACCATCTTCTGATGTGTAAACTAAAGCGTTCACTTTATAGGCTGATGCAGGCTCCCTGTGCTTGGTTTGATAAGTTTCGTTCTACTCTCTTGGGTTACTCCTTTACCCAGAGAAAATATGACTCGTATCTCTTCATCTCGGCCACCGAAGTGGGTACTGTGCTTCTTTTGGTATATGTTGATGATATTGTTATTACTGGTACTGATTCTGGAATGATCTCTCAACTTCAAACCCATTTAAAGAATTCTTTCCATGTGAAAGATTTGGGTCCTTTGCATATTTCTTAGGTCTTGAGGTACTTTCCAGTCCAGTCGAAACTTATCTACATGAGCACAAGTATTTGGAGGAGTTGATTACTTTGGCTGGATTGATTACTTTGGCTGGACTTCGCGATGGTTGCTCAGTTGATACTCCTTTAGAGGTGAATGTGAAGAACCGTCAGGAGGAAGGGGATCTCTTTCCCGATCCCTTTCTCTATCGTCAGTTAGTGGGTAGTTTGAATTATCTCACTATTACTTGACTAGATATCTCTTTTGCCGTCCAACAGGTCTGTCAGTTTATGCATGCTCCACGACATCTTCATCTGACTGCCGTTCGTCGTATTATACGATACTTGCTGAGTACACCCAATAGGGGTCTTTTCTTTTCTGCAAATTCTTCTCTTGAGTTGATCGGATATAGTGATGCAGATTGGGCTGGATGCGCGGACACTCGTGGCTCAATTACAGGTTGATGCATGTTTCTTAGAGGTGCACTAATTTCCTGGCGCAACAAGAAACAGGATCGTGTCTCTAAATCTTCCACTGAATCTGAGTATCGTGCTATGTCTTCTGCCTGTTCTAAGATCGTTTGGCTCCGAGGCCTTTTATCGGAGCTTGGTTGTCCTCAACATGGGCCTACTCCACTTTATGCTGATAATACAAGTGCCATTCAGATTGCTGCTAATCTTGTGTTTCATTAGCGCACTAAACACATCGAAGTGGATTGCCACTCCATCCATGAAGCTTATGATGGTCACATTATTTCCCTTCCACACGTCACTACTGATGTTCAGATCGCTGATGTGTTTACTAAGGCACTGCGTCATCAGTTTCTTGTCGACAAATTGATACTTCTTGATCGTCTCGCATCAATTTGAGTGGGGATGTCAATGAGATTGAAGAAACGACAAAGATTACGGAGATTGCATCTACCATAAATACATATATATAATTGATTGTAAATTATTGTAATTAGTCTTGTTACCATATTTAGATTGTACACACTTCTCTATTTAATGAAAGGGCTCTCAAAAGAGAGGATCATTCAGCCAAATTTTGTCATGGCTGATGTTCAAGAGTCGGCGCAGTGAACTTATTGTCGGGTGGCAGAATAATAATTGCGTCAAAGGAGAAGAAGCAGATGTGGATATTCGTATCTTGAGTGGTCTGCATGAGATTGTTAAACTGTTTAGTGTCTGATGCTTGGTTGGGAGATTTGGGAATCTTGGATCGCCACTGTGAATTTTCTTCTGAAAAACTAAAGAGCGTATTAGTGATGTGAGTGGGAATCTTTTTCTACCCCCATGACTTCTATATTGGATAGCACAATGGTCTATCTTGGTATGATTACTTAATTTCCTTTATATCAAGTACACGTATGATATAGGAATCTCAGCATGCTTGCTTATAGTTTTCCAAAATTCACATTTGGAGGGGACCAGATCATGTAATGAGACAAGATTTCTTTCTAAATGGAATTGAGGTAAGAAAACAGTTTAAACTTTGTTAAAATAATCGAATTAACATAAATTCGTAGTATTTTAGGAAGACTCTTCTCCAGTTCTTTGCTAAACGAAAGGAGTTTAAATAGGGTGTAGGAGTTCTTTATTTGCCAAGGTTCATAACTAGCCACACGAGTAAATCCCCTAGTAATGGATGCTAGGAAGTTGGCATGCCACGAGGGTGAAGAAGGGAGAATATGGATTCCTGAGGAGGAGGGTGTATTCTGTTTAGACAGTTCATAATTATTTTTTGAGTGTGGGTGGATGAGGGTGGGATGGGGGGCGATTTTGGGAGCTTAATTGGGCAATATTCCATTAGAACAGTTGGTGCATGTGCATATTAGTTGTATGATCCAAACCTATTATAATATGGTGATGCAGGGCAACCTCTAATTAGAAACTTAAGGTTGTCCAACCACCGAAGAGGAAAAAAGAGTTGAAGATCAGAACAGATTATGAAGATGAACTGACAAGGAAAACTTCCTTTGAATACGTCCACGGAACGAAAGAAACTCGAAGGCCTTCAAAAAATCTCTTTTATCAGAACTTTTTATTAGAGTCTCAATATTAAAGATGCAATCTGCAGAATTTCTTATTCCTACTCTATTGAAGGTTGAGAGAGATTACATGCATGAATAGACTCCTAGATATCCTAATTATTTAAGGATGATGACCTAAAAGAAAAGACTAGGAAACACAACATTTAAGAAACTCCTATTCAAAGGACGATTTGGCTGGCAATTAATTCATATGTGTTCTAACTAAACAAGGACATAAAAATAGAAGTAAATGCAGAAATTTTGGGCACAATACATATTCAACTTTTTTTTTGATAGGCAATACATATTCAACTTACTTTGCCCTTATATCAGATCAGCCTGTTCAGCCATACTCAAAAACACTTTTATCCAGTAATTCTAATGGCTCCCTAGATTTGCCAGAGCACATCTTTCTTGATTCTCGGAGGTAGTAAAATCTATTTTAACTTGGTAAAACCTCCGAATTTCTTTATTAAAGTAGTTTTATTTGAATGGTTGACCAGTGTCATCTGAGGTTCAAGAATGTGAGCGAGGATTTCTATGCTTAAAGAGGAAAAGTTGAAAGATGGATGTCAAATGTTAAATTTCTTCAATCATTCACATTTTATGTTTTCATTTTGCATATGGGTCTTGCTCTCTCGGTATGTATATATAGCCCTGCAATGCCCTGGTTCAAGCATTTTGTCTTCTTTCTCTTCCTAGTCTTTGCTTTTTGTTTTTTATACTACATGATCTGTTGTCTGAATATGATAAATAATTCCTGAATTCCTTCTTTAGAGAATAGGAGGGCATGAACTGTGGTTAATAGTTTAAATCTTTGTATCCGTAAATCCTAATTATTCCGGACCATAGGAGAGCGTACTAACAGAACTGCTATTTTCAATTAAAAGAAGTAGAACAAGGGACGTGCTTGTTGTAACGCCCCAAATTTTATTGACTTAAACCTTGGAGCGTTACCAATATCTTTTTATAAACATAATTGAAGCGGAAAATTCTAATTGAAAACTGTAAACTTTAACAAATAATAAACTTCATAACGTCCAATTTAAATCGTTCCAAAACATTAGATCGGAAACATTAAGCGTTCAATAGCAATTTAAGAAATACTGATATTTAAACATAAATAAAATTACTGATAGATTCCTTGAAATTGTTTTATTTGGCAGTCCGCGCACCATTTCGCCACCATCCTCATTGACCCGATCTAACCTGAGATGTTAACATTTTGAA